CCCAGTCTCTGGCATGGAAGGCAATAATTCCACCGCATGAACCACCACTGCCCCTAATTGTTCTCGAGCAGAATAAGATTATACTAATTTTAATTTAATACCAACACATCTGTCAGTTTGTCATACTGCAGAGACTTTCATGTTGCTGTGATGCTGGAAGCTGTGCCACCAGCATTTCAAACACCAGCAGGGTCACCTATGGTAGACAGGTTTCAGCAGAGCTTCCAGACTAAGATAGACTAGGAAGAAGGACCTGGTGGTCTACTTCTGAAAAAAATTAGCCAGTGAAAACCCTGTGAATAGCAGTGAAACATTATCTGATATAGTGCCAAAGATGAGCCCCTCAGTTTGGAAGGCACTCAAAATACGACCGGGGAAGAGCTGTATCCTCAAAGTAGGGTTGAACTTAATGACATGGATGGAGTCAAGCTTTCAGACCTTCACTGCTGATGTGGCACGACACAAAATGAGAATAAACAACTGCAAGCATCATTAATAATAGGAATGTGGAATGTATGAAGTATAAATCTAGGAAAATTGAAAGTCATAAAAAATGAAATGGAACACATAAACATTGGTATCGTAAGCATTAGTGAGCTGAAATGGACTGGTATTGGCCATTTTGAATTGGAAAATCTATGGTGTACTATGCTGGGAATGTCAACTTGAAGAGGAATGGCTTTGCAATCATCATCAAAAAGAACATTTCAAGATCGATCCTGAAGTACAACGCTGTCAGTGATAGGATAATATCCATATGCCTATAAGGAAGACCAGTTAATATGACTATTATTCAAATTTACACACCAACCACAAAGGCCAAAGATGAGGAAACTGAAGATTTTTACCAACCTCTGCAGTCTGAAATTGATCAAATATGCTATCAGGATACATGGATAATTACAGGTGATTGGAATGAGAAAATTGCAAACGAAGGAACAGTAGTTCGAAAATATGGCCTTGGTGATAGAAACAATGCCGGAGATCACATGATAGAATTTTGCAAGACCAGCAACTCATTCTCTGCAAATACCTTTTTTCACCAACATAAACAGTGAATATACACATGACCTCACCAGATGAAATACACAGGAATCAAACTGACTACATCTGCGGAAAGAGACGATGGATATCAGTCAGAACAAGGTCAGGGGCCAACTGTGGAACAGACCATCGATTGCTCATGTGCAAGTTCAGGTGAAAGCTGAAGAAAATTAGAACAAGTTTACGAGAGCCAAAGTATGACCTTAAGTATATTCCAGTTGAATTTAAAGACCATCTCAAGAATAGAGTTGACTCATTAAACACTAATGTCCAAAGACCAGATGAATTGTGGAATGATATCAAGGACATCATACATGAAGAAAGCAAGAGGTCATTAGAAAGAAAAGACCAAAATGGATGTCAGAAGAGACTCTGAAATTTGGTCTTGATTTAGAGTAGCTAAAGCAAAAGGAAGAAATGATGAAGTAAAAGAGCTGAACAGAAGATTTCAAAGTGTGGCTTGAGAAAACAAAGTAAAGTATTAAAATGAAATGTGCAGAGACCTACAGTTACAAAACCAAAAGGAAATAACACTCTTGGCACTTCTCAAGCTGAAAGAACTGAAGAGAAAATTCAAGCCTTGAGTTGCAATATTGAAAGATTCTACGGAAAAATATTAATGCAGAAAGCATCAAAAGAAGATGAAAGGAATACAAAGAGTCACTGTACCAAAAAGAATTGGCTGATGTTCAACAGTTTCAGGCGGTAGCATATAATTAAGAACTGATGGTACTGAAGGAGGAAGTCGAAGCTGCACTGAAGGCGCTGGCAAAAACCAAGGTTCCAGGAATTGA